CTTAAGATCAAGAAGAGAGCTTAAGAAGTCTATTTATATATATATGTGTGTGTATACATATGGGGAGTCAGGAGCTCATAGGGCACCAGGCCTCGATGTGCGGCCTTCGAAGGGGACGCGTGAACACGATGGAAGAGAAATGCCCCAAAAATGGCCTCGCTTTTCCAGGAACAAAGAAAATGCTGATGGAGGAGGGAATTTCAGAGTGCTATGGTAAAACGTACAAGTGAAGCTTGGAAAGTTCACCTGTCAGACCACTTATGTGTCTCATACAAACCCCAAAGTTTATGTAAGGCTTAGATTTACAGCAAGTTTAGGTTACTGCCTTTTATTAGCTGTTCTGTTGATTCTGCTACAGGGAACACTTAACAATCTCTTTAAAAAGGCTAAGTCTTGCTCCAGAAAAACGTTCTTCTTCCTGTTTCTTGTTTAAAAATCTTTTAAACAAATTAGCGAACTTAAAGCAAASTTCTGGTTAGAAGAAAGACATTTTCAACACAGGTTTTAATAACACCAATTTTGGGGCTTCTTTCCAAATACGCTGACTTTGCAGTGCACTGAATCACAGGGCATAAAATAAAACATTACGGCTACAACTGAGGCTAGTTCTATAGAATAGTCATACGTGGAACTTTTTTCACTATTCCTGGAGAGAAAAAAAAATAATAATTTAAAGGAATGGCTTGATAAAGTGTTTTTATTAAACAGGAATCAGCTGCTTAATAGTCTRAGCACACTCCCCAATTAAATTCTCATTTGGAAAGGAACCTTACTACACACAAATAGAAATGTATATGTAGCAAAGGCAAAAATACACAAAAACTTACTAGGATGTCTAATGATGTCTTGCCAGCTGCTCACTGCAATCTTGCAATCTACTATTTGTCTCTTACGATCCATGTGAGAAACACAMGTAAATATAAATGTTTTCTATCAGAGAGCAACTAAACTTCAATGAGAAAGCCTGATGGATGTAAAGATGCTCAGGTTTAAAACTTTCCTCGGCAACTGTTTTTGGATTGGATCCACTCAAGAGGATCTTAAAGGGAACAAAAGAGATAAGGGCTCAACCTGCTCTTCACGGATAAGRTATCTATATCTAGAGACAGAAATACTTTTCTTCCAGCTAGTTATGCTAAACAGGTTATTGACCAATGTCTTTATACCAGCAATTTTGGGAGGTGGGATTCACTTTTACAGCAAAGTGCCAAGATACCACGGGGTGGATAAGGGAGGAGGAGAAAACTTGAGGCCAGTTGTGAGGAAGGAGGCATTGGATGGTTGCAAGACCTCTCATTAAGGCAACACGTAACTGCTGGAGAGCTCCCTGCAATGAAGCCTCCCATTCTGCAGGTGCAGCTAAGGAGTCACCAAACCCCTTAACGCTGAAAGCCCAAGGGATTCTGGATGTTGGACAACCAAGCGCTGGATCATGAACCCTTCTCCCCTTGTCAACTGCAGCCTGAATACTGTAAATCTCCAAGGCATTTCTTGAAYAGCCCTGCCTCTGAGACATTTCCAGTTCATGCAGTATAGATACAGRCACATTTCTCACAAGTGGAAGGGAAGAAAAACAGAAAAGCCATGGAAACGTAAAGCTTTGCCTGCAAAATTGCTTTTGTCCCCGCTCATTCTCCAGGACCACATCTCCAGTTAAGACCTGACCCTGCCACACTTCTAGTCCCACGGGCCCCTTCCTTATTCCCCATGGGAAGAGCCATGCACCTGAGCGGGAAGTAGGACTAGGAACCACAACTGCACGGTGCATTTGCACGGATTCAGTTTCCAGTTGTTCTAGATAATCAGCACAAAGGCAGTAATTGCAAACACAGCTCTCCCTTGCAGAGTGGAGTGGATGTTCAATAATTGCTTCCAATTGCCTATCAGCAACTAGGTCTTCGATATGTTTGTCTTACATTTTTGGGGGACGAATGGCTTCATTACGATGTTGCCAGTATTTTTCTCCAGTTGACTTGTAAGTTATTCCTCATTTTTGTTACTGTGTTTCCGCTTGATCTTAGGTTGATCTAATCACAGACAGAGGAAGGAAAGAGAAACTTGCCTAGGTTTTATGAAGAGRCTGGGGGAATGAGAGCTTTCAACTACTGATAAGGTGGGGAGTTCTGGAAGGGACTGATGAATCCAGGCACGAGGTTTTGGCAGCTGTTAGGCRGATTCCAGCAGATATTTGTTTCCTAAATCCCAAGCACAGGCCTGCRCAAGCTCAGCATCCTCTTGGGAGATGCGGTTTTCAGAGGCTGCCATTTGGACCCAGTTCAAGGGCGTCCTTGTTTCCAGGATAAACACATCAGGATGACACAGATCTAGCCTAATGTCATTTGTACTGGAGAATGGGAGCTGGTTAAGCACTGCCTGCGCTTCAACACCTCTTGTAAACAGAGGTGAACATCACCACCTCATGATGTCCATTGTAAGATGCAATAATTTCATTCCAATGCCTGATAACATTTATCCCCATWCAAGATAAAACACAGCTTTCAACTATCAGGACACAGGTACTTTTCTATAGGTAGTATTTTGTTGGCAAACTGGGGAAAACCAGCTGGATTGAACCTTCAGAATGACAGGAACCCCTCAGAAACAGGCACAGGAATGGGAGGGGGCAAAGCCAGATGTTGGGCACGGGAAATGAGGTGCAACAAAGTGCTATTCAAGGAAGTAAGGAAAAGACTAGCTACAAAGATGCAAAAGGGAACAGGAAAACGATCGGGCTTTCCAAAAACTGTGTCAAGCCTCCTTACCTTTTATCTGAAAGGCACAGAAAGCTCTGATGAACAGACAGTCCTTTGAAATAGCAGGCTTTTGCCTCCAAAACGGGAGCTGGCAAGCATAAGGCACAGATCAAAATCATAGAATCACAGAACCCTCAAGGTTGGAAGGGGCCTCAGAGGTCATCCAGTCCAACCCCCCTGCACACGCAGGGTCACCCAGAGCACGGGGCACAGGGCTGCATCCAAGCGGATTTTAAAGATCTCCAGAGAAGGAGACTCCACAACCTCTCTGGGCAGCCTGTGCCAGGGCTCTGGCACCCCCTCTGTTAAGAAGTGTTTCCTTAAGTTCCTGTGGAACTTTTGGTGCCTCAGCTTGTGGCCGTTTCCTCTAGTCCTATCACTGGCCACCACTGAAAAGAGGCCGCCCCCTCCTCCTCACTGCCTCCCTTGAGGTATTTATACACGCTGATCAGGTCCCCCCTCAGCCTTCTCTTC